ATCTTCTGGTACCCCCAAGTTTTTTGGGTTATCTCCAATTTATTTATTTTTAAATAAATTAGTTGTTATTATAAAGTTAAGTGAGATTTCCCATGATTCTTCAAAAAACTTTTCAAGGTTTTTCACTCATGGTAGAATAAAACTGAACTTATTGCAGTGAGTTTAATACCATTGGAGAATATCTTTTCAACCCCTCTAAAATCATCTTAAACATCTCTACCATGTTCCTTACTTTCTTCACAATGGCAATATTACTGTCCCTTGAGCATGCCAAATCTTTTTCCAATTCAAACCTTCTTTATATATGTGGAGTATCTACTCCAAGGCATTGCATAGCTTTCTTTCCTCATTTTCATCCTCACAAGTCTCTAGGTAAAAGTTGTCAGCTTAGCACAACCTTTCCTGACCCTTTTTGCTTCAGTGATCTTCCTCTGTTACTTTGCATCTCATCTGTCTATTTATTTCACTCATAATCCATTCATATAATTGTGATTTGTCTTTGTAACTTATTATTTGCCCAGATCACATTAAAAATGCATGATCTTGCATGATTTATCTAGCAAGCTACCAATAAAGATATGCAGATAAATGAATAGATTTAATTAGTAATTACTATGTATATTTAGAATACAAAATAGCAAAAATTTATTTCCCGAGTCAAAAAATCAGGGAAACATGGATGGAGTGGTTGTAACTTACCAGAGCCTTGAGACATCAGTGTAATTTTCAGGGGCAGAAATAGGAGGAAAACATTTCATGCATTCTCATGTAGGACTGAAAGAATCACAAATTCTTCAGCTCCATGTCTATGTGATCACTGAACCTCAGCCATTAATTTGAATTCAAATTAGTACAGTGGTCTCTTTTTATGTCTTCATTCTGCCCTCTGTTCAAAATAGTGGATGGCAGTGTTTTAACTGTGCCCTTCTAAAAGGATTAACTAATAAAAATGGTGTCATAAGATCTATGTCCTATACAGTGTATTATTTTGTTGTAAGTATTGACAGCACAATTGAAAGTGGATTCCAAAGAAATCATAACAAAAATAACAAAAAAATGTATTTTCATATGAGTGTGTGGTCTTGTTAAATTTTTATTACCATGTCTCAATAATACCAGGTCTCTCAATGCAGCTCTTAAAATTAGAAACAGTAGCAATTTAATGATTTCCAATTTTTACAAACTAAGTAGTTCATCTTATTATTTAGGGCAGAGTAAAATATGTTTTGCTGGAAAAACATAACTGTCCAGCCTTCCTTCAAGACTTCATTTAGGGAAGCAACTGCCACTTGAAAAGCCTGTGACCAAGGATCTGAAAGACAATCTTTCTGCCTGTAGGTGGAGCCACATGAACACAATTTTAAATATTTATGGAATTATTTAAATTAAGTCATCATTCATGTAGATACACCTTATCTTTCCTTCCTTTCTCCCTCCTTCCCTCCCTTCTTTCCTTCTTTTCCTCCCTCCATCCTTCTTCTTGCTCCTTCCTTCCTTCCTTCCTTCCTTCCTTCCTCTCTCTCTTTCTTCTCATTCTCTTTCTTTCAGTTCTTTGTTTCTTTCTTCTTTATCTCTGCCTTTCTGTTTCTTAATTAAAAGGAAAATCAGAGAAATATGGTCTTTTAAATATTGAATTTTAGAATTAGAGTTTTATACCTGGAAAGTTCTCTTGATGATGCTCTATTCTAGTCACTTCTATACATGTTGCAAGGACAAATGTCTTAGGAATTTTATGTTTAACAGAAATTTTATTTCCTAATTGACAAAGAGTATAGCAGGAGCCCTGGCAAAATGCATTTTTCTTTTTATTTCCTGTTTTACAAAAGAAGTCTATTGTTTTTAGCCCTTCCAAGGGAGTGGTTTTCCTCTCCTTGATGAACACAATAAATACCATAGTTCTGTCCCTTCATATTACTTATCTTCCAAGATGCTCACTTTCACTCAAAGAAAACAAAAAAGGCTTTTCAGCTAGAGTAGTGATAATAATTAATTGAAGAATTCAATTTTTTTCCTCAGGAAATATTTCTTAAGCCCTTTAAAGTTCCAGCAGGCTACTCTCCGTGTTTCTCTCTGGCAGTCCTATTTTTAACTTCCAATAAAGTGGTTGCTACCCCAGGGGCAAGCTGATACAACCGAAAAGGGTGGTAGGTTCATAGGAAGGCGCAAACACAGCTGAAGAAATGAAAGGATCAAAAACAAACCCCTGCACTCAGACTAAAAAGAAGAGGGGAGTTAGAAAATGGCCGAAAACTGGCTAGACATCAGGTCCCCTAATTTCAGTTGAGCCCAAACCTTAATTCCTCGAAACCGTTATTTTAGTTCCTCGGTGAAGTCAGGATATTTCATATCTCTAAACAAAAAAGGAAAACCTCTGAATTCACATCCTGAGGGTTTATACTGTGAAAGACACTGCACTTGATATTATGAGGAATAATTGTAGAAATGCAACAATCACTGTTTTGGGGGAACTTTAAAGTGAAAGATAAGTCAACACCATTGGAGAGACTTGAGAATTCAAACACTCATGGAAACATGACACACATCCTTACAGAAGTATGGCTGAGCTCAGATAGACTTGAGCCATAGCATCCAGCTACAAGTCTTTACAGAAGAAATGATGATTTGCAGTGTTCAGGAGAAAAGACATTCAGTTCACTGGACAGGAAAGATCAACATATTTGCCTGGAAACCCCAATAAGTATATATAGGCAATATTCCATACAAAAGAGAGGGACTATATATACAACCTAATGACAAATCAGCTGTTTCATTTACATAAGAAAGTAAGGTGATTCTGGTCAGATAGAGAATACTAGTGAGGCACAATCATTTGAAGATAGTAAGTGAAGGTATGAGAAACTGTTGCATTTTACAATGATTTATGTGGTAATTTGGTTATAAGAATTTTTTTAAATTTCATTATTGACATTTTTAAACCTGCACCAAAGTAAAATAGTATAGTGTATCTCCGTGTGTCTACTTGCCTTCAGGTAAGTGTCAACATTTTAGTACATCTCGAGTTGATGTTATTGAATTGTGGGTTAATCATGTTAGTGCTGATGTACATTTGAAGAGTCCATCAGAAAGGAATTATTGCAAAGGCTTATTTTTAAGCCATGATGAGATTAAACATTCAGACTAAGTCAGAGCTATTCTGCTTTCAAATTGACACTTCACAGAACAGAAACAGGAACATAATGGGAGTCATTTTTTTTTCTTTATAGAAAGCAGCTGATGTGAAGTAGGAACATGTTGAGTGGATAATTACTCTCACTGGGCACATATGGAAATGTTGCTTAATTATTACCAGAGAAACCAACTATTTCCATCAATAAGGCTGGCTAGTAACTATGTTCCTGATGCTGGAACTGCAAATAACATCTGAGAAAATCCTGTCAAATGATATACTGGTATTTTACTCATGTTATTTTACTAAAGTCATTGAAAGGTGCCATTGTTCCCCCATTTTACATGTAAGATAACAGAAACAGAGATGCGTTTATTCATCATGATACACAACCAGGAAATTGTAGATCTAGGACTGCAACTCAGCTTACTCTGATTTTCACGAGTGTTTGTTCCCTCATACAAGCAAGAACCTACATAAAGAAAAACAGGCTTTACTCAATCCCATGATGCCCTGGAATCTGAAAGCAGAATGCCTCTAGGAGAGACAAAAATATGCTATGCTGAGTTGCGTAGGGTGTTCTGAGAGTCAGAATATGAATTTGTAACTTAGATAAAACAGACACTCTCTTCTTTGTCAAAGGAAACGTAGCTTGGAGCACAAGCAAAAATATGGGCCACTTAAAGTCAACATGTAATGTACTTTAAAAAGTACACACACACACACACATGTATAGTGATTGTGTGTGTGTGTGCGCTCATGTGTATGTTTGGTTAACCTTTTCCCTCAGTTTTCTAATAAGGTACCAATTTGGAGAAAAACAATTTTTCCATATGTAAGTTGTTCTATAAAGGGGCTGGTAGTGGGAAGCAGTTCCAGGAAGAACAGACCTAGTGGACTGGTTAGACAACATGGAAGAGTCAAAGAGGTGAAGGGGACGGCTAGGCTTGTGGCTCCATTCCCAGCTGAACAGCTCCTTCATGTTTGTCTTTGTTGTTTTCCCATATTATGAGAATGACTTCGTTGTGGTGTCCAAATAACTTTGGGAATTCTGGGTTTCTCAAAGTATGATTGTGTACAATTTTTTAGGTGTGTATGAATAAGCGTTTTTTAATTTATATGTTTCCTGTGTATTAGAAAAATGTTTCCTTCTCTGTGAATTCATGGATATTATTAAGTAAAGAAAATCTTGTTTTTACAAGTTAATAAATTTAGAGCAAATATTTTGTTAAAAATAAGGTAAATATGTGTTGAAAGACTGCTATAAAACATGCCTGAGCAAGATATTACTTGCTGAATAGGTATAGATTGGGAGACAAGGAAAGAAACTAGAGATGTGAAGTGTGGAAAGATGGGGAATAAAACTAGAAGAGCTAATGTCACAAAATCGTAGGACTTATATAAACAGCATTTCATAGAACTTCCTTATCTTACAAATGGCAAATCTGAGGCCTGGAGAACAGAATACCCATAGATAACACAGGAAGTTATTTATAGGGCAATGACTGGAACTTGGGGCTTTTGCTTCATAAGCCAGTAATTTTAGAAAAAAAACTGTCACTTTTTGATCTTTTGTTGTGCTTTCTTATTCATACCCTTTATCTATTGTTTTCAATTTAACTCAAAAAGTATGTGTCTTGAGGATGTCCAATATTTTAATGATTTATTTGAAGATAGTTTGTAGATAGGGTCAACTGATTGAAAACACCTTTTAAGCCACCAATATAATAAATTTAAAAAGTTAAATTTATTTGAAGGGCAAAATGATGACAGAGATAAAAATCCTGTCCACTGATTCATTCCCCAAATGATTCTAATGGCTAGTTCTGGGGTGGGACCAGAGTCAGGAGCTAGGAACATAACTCAGGTCTCCCAAATGGGTGGCAGGAACCTGATCACTGAAGCCATCATTGTTGACACAGATGGTCTGCAATATCAGGAAGATGGAGTCAAAAGCTTGAGCCAGGATTTAAACCCAGGTATGCAGATGTGGGATTCAAGTATCCACCACTAGGGTAAACACTTGCTCCCAAAGCAAAACAGTTTTAAAAGAAAAGCAGGTGAGGCTTTGACAGAGAGGCATTGCTATATCTTAGTAGGAGCAGGTCCTCACAGGGCCCCAGTTTGAGTCCTGATTCAGCCTGATCCACAGAAGGACTTAAGCAAAGTACTTAGATACTTGAGGTCTGGTTTCTGAAAGATGTAAACAAATGACCTCCTTGCAAGATGTATTTGGAGTTACAGACAGGGAAGATGACCAATTTCTTAACACCTGGTACTTATTAACACCTAGTAGTTGTTAATGAGTATGATGGGGGTTAGTTGACTGTAGGAAAGAGGAAAGTGCTATAGAGTGGTCTCAAGGACAGAAACAAGAAGTATTTGATGTGACGGCAGCAGAAAGGTGGGTAAGTGGGAAAGGTGGACTTGAGTTTTTAGAATCACTTCCAGAGGAGCTGGTAGGAATGTGAGTTCTGTTTTTGTCAAGATCCTCATTCCAGACAATAGATCATGTTCCACCCCTTAGAGGTTTTGATAGTTTTGTTGTTTCAGTTAATAGTTCTGCAAAAATACTGAGAATTCATAAGAGGATTTCCTTGGCCAAAACCTGAATCCTAGTGTCTGGGTTTCAACCGCAGTGGTAACAGCTCTTAACAAAATCTTTTGGCATTTTCATTTTATCAATTTTCATTGAATGATACATCTTTTATTTTTCCCATTTTGCAAAAGCATCCTTTCATCAGGCAGTTTCCATTTGTCTGCCTTACTTTACTTTTTTTTTGGACAGGCAGAGTGGACAGTGAGAGAGAGAGAGAGAGAAAGGTCTTCCTTTACTGTTGGTTCACCCTCCAATGGCTGCTGTGGCCCACGCACCGCGCTGATCCAAAGCCAGGAGCCAGGTGCTTCTCCTGGTCTCCCATGCGGGTGCAGGGCCCAAGGACCTGGGCCATCCTCCACTGCACTCCCAGGCCACAGCAGAGAGCTGTACTGGAAGAGAGGCAACCGGGACAGAATCCGGCACCCCCACTGGGACTAGAACCCGGTGTGCCGGCGCCGCTAGGTGGATTAGCCTATTGAGCCGAAGCACCGGCCTCTATTACTTTACATAGCAAGACATACAATGTACAGTGCTTTGTGTCGAGTACATGCATTTGTGTGACATGTTACCAGCAGACTCTTCACACTGAATGTAAATTATTCTTAAAGTAAGTACAAATGCATTCTTTAAATTTTACAATTCTAATAAATTTGAAGACTGCTTTCGCATGTGTTATTTCATTTACTTTTCATGACATTACGCTGAAGTATGTATTATTATGCTCATTTTTTAGATGAGGAAACAAAAATGGTCAGAGTTAAGTGGTCAAATTTAAAGTGATTCAGGATCACATGCCTGTTGAGTAGCTAATCCAGATCATCTGGAGTCAAATTCGATATAGTTTCTACAGTAGGAATTTCTCATTCCCAATTTCTCATTCCCCATGTTTAAGGAAAACATGAAAAAAATATTTGTCCCTGCCAACAAAAATTAATTTCATTTCACATGGAACATACACACACACATACACACTGATACCCTCAGATACTACTGCATAGACACATTCAAAGAGGAAGAGAGAAAGAGGTCACTGTGAGTAGGAGTGGTCAGAGACATATCATGGAGTAGGTAAGCAGAGTATTTTTAGAGAGTAGAAAGCTAAGCACTCATTTTGGATGATTGTAATAATCAAGTTGTACTCCACCCACAGGCACTCTCATCTGTAAACATTCCAAAAGGAATAGGACATTGCATTCTTGGCTGGAAATGAAACAAGCAAGTGAATCATCTGAAAATTCAGGGTTGGAGTAAGTTTTAATCTGATTAGAGTGATAGATATCTGCATTCACAAGCTCCCTGAAAACCATGTGCCCCACAGTAACCCCACCTATGACATTTGCCACCTTTCATGTTCTGCTGCTGGGAGTCTTATCTTAACCAGGGTTCAACAGCCAAACCATAATTTTTTGTCACTGTAGAAAGAGCACTGTACTAAGACTCAGAAATGAACTTTGTCTTAGTGTTCTTAGCAACCATATAAGTATGGCCTTGAGCAACTCACTTCATTATCCTGCATTCCAGTTTGTCATCTGTATAATGAGCTAATGATACTTGCCCAGCCTACCTTTTTTAAAGAATAACAGGTGTCTCATGAGAAAGTGCCCTGAAAATAGTAAAAATATTACATAAATTACACAAATACATAAGTCATAAAAGTATATGATATAGGGCCGGCGCCGCGGCTCAATAGGCTAATCCTCCTCCTAGCGGCGCCAGCACACTGGGTTCTAATCCCAGTCAGGGTGCCAGATTCTGTCCCGGTTGCCCCTCTTCCAGGCCAGCTCTCTGCTGTGGCCAGGGAGTGCAGTGGAGGATGGCCCAAGTGCTTGAGCCCTGCACCCGCATGGGAGACCAGGAGAAGCACATGGCTCCTGCCTTCGGATCATCGCGGTGCACCAGCCACAGCGGCCATTGGAGGGTGAACCAACGGCAAAAGAAGACCTTTCTCTCTGTCTCTCTCTCTCACTGTCCACTCTGCCTTTCAAAAAAAAAAAAAAGTATATGATATAGAAATGTCATAGAACAAAAAGTTTCTTAGAAACTTAGTGGATCTATGAAAGAGCTTCCATTTAATAAAAATCCTCTCTAATTCTCTTGCAAATTAGAAAGTCTCTCTAAAGAATTTTTTCTTTTGCCTCATCATCATTCTCAAATATCTTAGATTACAGAGATAATTCTGAAAACATTGCATGTAAGTCCTAGTGAAAAAGCCATTTTCCCCGTTGCCTACTCTTCAGTGAAGCTATTGGTTGCCATTTAAAATAGGGCTAGTCATGAAAATTGAGCCCCTATGTTACTGCCAGATACGTGGGATAGTGTGGAGGGTTAGGGTAGAAGTTGGTGAAGGAGGGAAGGAGGGAAAGAATTAAAATGTAAAGGCTAAAATAGCCTTCCTTGATACCTTGTTAAAATCAGTTAATGGCATCCAAGGAATTTAGAACATTATTTCTATCACCTGGCTCTTTTGAAAGTGCTCAGTACACCAGTAGCCTGGAAGATTACCTGGGAGTTGGTTAGAAAGGCAGATTTCCTTGGCGTCATCTTAGCCCTACCAAATAGGGATGTATATTTTAATAAGATCCCTGGGTGATTTTTATTACAGTTTGGGACTCACTAGTCTATGAGGTACTTCTAGACGTATGATGCTATTTTATTCTTAAGTTTTTTTCTATCAGTATTATTGAGGCTGGCACTGTGGTGTAGCTGGTTAAGCGGCTGCCTGCAGTATTGTCATCCCATATGGGTGCCAGTTCGAATCCTGACTGCTCCACTTCCAATCTAGCTCCCTGCTAATGTGCCTGGGAAAGAAGTAGAAGATGGCCCAAGTTCTTGGGCCCCTGCATCCATGTGGAAGACCCAGACGAAGCTCCTGGCTCCTGGCTTCAGATCAGCGCAACTCTAGCCATTGCAGCCAATTGGGGAGTGAACCAGTGGGTGAAAGACACCCCTCCCCCCCCATTCTCCTTCTTTCTCTCTGTAACTCTGACTTTTAAATAAATAAATAAATCTTTAAAAAAACAACAAAAACCCCAGTATTGTTAACTGTTTGCCTTCCTCATATTCCATTATCTAGAAAAATTCAAGTAAATTTAGACAGAGAGGCATAACTAGGGTGGCAGCTGAATGAGGGATATAAATGTGGACTTTCTGATTCTAAAGCATATAATTCTCCCAGTGTAGCTCTCTTCTGTTCTTTCTGTACAATCTCTGTTTCTCAGGTACTGAATATGAGGCCTCACCGTGAAACCAGGTCTGAGTTCAAGCATTATTCAAATTACCCCTCCTTGTGATATAGAAACATCACTTAAACAGAGGAAGAATGGTTTCTTTCTGTGGACATTCAGACCCTAAGGGAGATGGCACAGGAAGTTACCATTTCACATTCTTTTTTTTTTATTTGGATGATTGAGGTTTTAAATGACATCAACCTTTCTAAAGTCATTCTGTTAATTCATTCTTGACTGACTCCATCATCACAGTACCACCATTATAGGTGCCACCTGGAGTTACTCAATTCACAGCTAACTAGACTTTTGAAGGTTGCTCCCGCATGACAGTTTGAAGGGTCACTTGGAGTCAAGAGTCGACTTACTTTGTCAGGTGGAGGCCTGATTCACTTACTAGAAGTGCTTGAAACACACAACTGAATGTTCTCCACCTTTGTCTTTATTGAAAAATTCCCACCTTGTCATTGAAAACATGTTTGGGATAGTAGTAAACAGGAAGTGATTTGAAAAGGCTCATCATCAGGGATGTTTATAGGTGAGAAATACAGGATTAACCACTCCTCACTTAATAGAAAATACATGTAAAGGAAAGAGAAAGAGGAAGTGAGGGAGGAAGGGAGAAGATAGAGGGAGGGAGAAAGGAAGGAAGGAAGGAGAGAAGGAATGAGGGAAGGAAGGAAGGGAGGGAAGACAAACCAAATAATGAAGAATTCAAGGAATATTACAGAAATTAAAATTGTCTTCTGAAACTTCTTTGCATGTCAAATGTGCAAACTTTAGTGCTATTGAGATGAGACTTTTATATTATATACCTTAAAATCCTCATGAGTGAGCTTAGCTGATTTTCTAGGTGGAGAAGTGTGGCCCTATAACACCTCTTCCTTCTCTACTGCTAGGGTACAGCACAGAAGACACAGACAAACCTTAGAGAACTTTAAGGTAAGGTGTCTATAAAATCCTCAATTCTTACCTAGACTCAGAGTCACTCACCAAGTAAAAACAAATCCTAGATGGTTGTTCTTGTTTAGTTCATAAAAATGACATTTTATTCCCCACCAAGTCTTTCTATCCATCGCTGGAGCTTACAAGAGACATTGAACTATTTTATTATCATTCTTACATACAGATGCCCACAGGTCTCTATTTAACAGTGTGCTTTCAGCATAAATGTTCTTTACCAACTCTAACTTTCCAGACCCCAGACATTATTCACTGAAAACATTTTCTGAAGCTTCCCTTGATAATAAGATATAACCACAGTTCATAGCTTATGTCTCTAGTAGAGTACTTGGGTGTTTTGCTTCTTTTAGAGTTACTTGTGCAACTGTAAATCTCCCCTACTGGGAACTCATCAATCTCTTTTACTAGATTATGTTTTACTTGTTTGTATGATTTTACAAGCTCTTATAATACCAATTTCTTACTCATTCAGAAACATATAGGTGCAATCATAAGTCACTATTTAAATGGGAGTATCTTTCTCAAGGAAACCAATGTTAGGCCTTGCTCCTGAAGTGTGAGTTGGCAAGTCATGATTATATCCTTCCAACTCTGTGGTTCTTTGAGGCTGCCTCTGTACCCCAGGGGCCTTATCTAAACCTGTGGGACTTGTTTTCCAACCTCCATGAAAAGAGTTCTTCACTTCCAAACACAGGTCCACCCTTTTTCACTTTAAAAGTGCCTTGCTAGTATGCAATGTAGATATGTGTAGTAAACCGTCAGACGATTTCTTAAACAGTTTATTTTCATCTATTTGAAAGGTAGAGCAACAGAGTATGGGAGAGAGATCTTCCATACAATTGTTCAGTTCCCAAACACCCACATAAATTGGGGCACAGCCAGGGCAAAGAAACTGAAACTCCATCTGCAACTTCCATGTGAGTAACATGGCCCAAGCATTTGGGCCTTATCTGTTGTTTCGCAGGATGTATTAACAAGAAGATGGAATAACTGAGACTCTGACACTCTGATATGGGATGTGGGTGTCCCAATCAAGGCTTAATCTACTGAGCTTCAATGCCCTGCCCCAGAAGACTGGCTTACTTTTTTCTTTCTTTCTTTCTTTTTTTTTTAAAGAAATCAGTATTTGTGGCACAAGTGACTTAGGAAAAGTAATGTGGAAATTAAAAGAAGAGACTTTTAGAAATCATATTATTTTCTCTACACAATTATATCTTAAGTTCTTTCCTATATTGCTACATCTATGAAAATATGTCAAACAATTCTGACAAAAAATAATGATTATTCCCATGACTGATATTACAGGAAAGTTGGCTTGAGAGTGCAGGTACCTAAAAACATATAGAGATTCTGTAAAGGAGTCCAGTGTTCAGTGTTGCAAAATGGAAGTTTTAAAAGTGAGATGAAAATATTTGGGATGAAGAACACAAAATGAAGTGCTATTGGAACTAAAAGCAAGACTATTCTGAGTGCTACAGAAGCAAATACTTCACCAAATGAAAGAGCTTCCCAGAAGTCAGGATCAGAGAAATGTTCATTTAGCAACTAACTCAAGTTTTGCAATAGTCCCTACTTGATGCAGATGCTGTAAAGTGAAGAGATATCAACAATAAATAGATGTCATATATTCTCATTAGTTTCTTTTTTATGTATGTTAAGTATCATGTATTTATTTGAAAGGAGAGAGAGAGAGAGAGAGAGAGAGAGAGAGAGAGAGAGAGGTTTGAAAGAGATTTCCTGAATCTGCTATTTCACTGCCTAAATGCTGGCTGTAACTGTCAGGGCTGGGCCAGGCCAAAGCCAGGAGCCTGAAACTCCATCTAGGCCTCCCACATGGGTACAGGACCCAAGAACTTAGAGATCATCTACTGCCTCCCAGGTACATTAGCAAGAAGTAAGATTGGAAGTAGACCTTGGACTCAATCTCATGCACTCCAACATGGGATGTGGGTGGCTTAACCTGCTGAGCCATGATACCTACCCCTGTAGTCTCCTTTTACTAAGTCAATAAAACATGAATAACTGGACTTAGTCTATTTGTCTCCAGGATGTAAGATAAATTCTTTCAAAAATTAAGTAAATAAAAGCTAGAAGGACACAAATTATCTGAGCAATTCTCGACTAGAAACCACTTTTTAACCATGTGATGTGCAGTCAAGTGTGTTGGCTAACAGTGTGGATTCTCAAGCCTGACAGTCCAAATCTCCACTCACTAGACAACTTTGAGCAGTTGCTTAACTCTTCCATGTGTTGGTTTCTTGTGTCTGCTGTCAGGATACCTCAGTGAAGAACTGTGAGGATTAAATTAATGAATGTAGAAGACCCAGGAGGCCGGCGCCGTGGCTCAATAGGCTAATCCTCCACCTTGTGGGGCCGGCACACTGGGTTCTAGTCCCGGTTGGGGCGCCGGATTCTGTCCCGGTTGCCCCTCTTCCAGGCCAGCTCTCTGCTGTGGCCAGGGAGTGCAATGGAGGATGGCCCAGGTGCTTGGGCCCTGCACCCCATGGGAGACCAGGAAAAGCACCTGGCTCCTGGCTCCTGCCATCGGATCAGCGCGGTGCGCCGGCAGCAGCGGCGGCCATTGGAGGGTGAACCAACGGCAAAAGGAAGACCTTTCTCTCTCTGTCTCTCTCTCTCTCGCTGTCCACTCTGCCTGTCAAAAATAAAATAAAATAAAATAAAATAAAATAAAATAAAATAAAATAAAATAAAAGAATGTAGAAGACCCAGGACAGTGCCTGGCATACAGCAGGAGTTCTCTATATATAGCTCCATTTATGTTACTGGTTTTAAAATTCTCTGTGGTGCAGTGGTTCCATTTTCAGATATACTCAGAGATTCAGAAAATATTAACAATATGATTGGGGCCGGTGCCACGGCTCACTTGGTTAATCCTCCACCTGTGGCGCCAGCATCCCATATGGGTGCCGGGTTCTAGTCCCTGTTGCTCCTCTTCCAGTCCAGCTCTCTGCTGTGGACCGGGAGGGCAGTAGAGGATAGCCCAAGTGCTTGGGCCCCTGCATCCACATGGGAGACCAGGAAGAAGTACCTGGCTCCTGGCTTTGGATAGGCGCAGCGCCGACCGTAGAGGCCATTTGGGGAATGAACCAACAGAAGAAAGACCTCTCTCTCTCACTCTCTCTCTCTCTCACTGTCTAACTCTACCTGTCAAAAAAAAAAAAATGATGACAAAGTCATAAAGCCACATTCTATGGCTAGTGAGTTCTAACTAATTTAAATTTTATTACATATAATCCTAACTTATTTTTAAAAATAACTACTGTATATATTTTAAATTTCATTTAATTTATTTTAAAAGAAAAGAGACAGATGGAGAGATAGACAGGCAGATGAGAGATTTCCACAAATGCCCATTAACAGTGAGGGCTGGGCCAGACTGAAGTCAGGCGCTGGAAAGTTCATTTGGGTCTCACTCATGGGTGGCAGGAGTACAACCACTTGAGCCATTACTTGCTGCCTCCCAGGGTGAACATTAGCAGGAAGCTGGAATGAGAAGTGGAGCCAGGACGCTTCAATGTGGGAAGTTGGCATCCCAAGCTATACCAAATGCCCTTCCCAAATATTGCATTTTATTTATTATTTACATACATAATATTTACTATTTCATATATCCCTTACAAGTATTATTAAATTTTTAATAACAAGTTATTAATTGTAGTGTTTATTTTTACAGATGTTAAAATGTGAATGAGGGAATATTTTCAGATTA